CCCTCCAGGGAGCGGGGTCCGTGCAAGTCCCTGCACGGCCGTGTGTGGCACGAGCCTGGCGTTTGGGCGCCTCCCGCTGTAAACCTGTCTGACAGCGCAGGGGCCTTGGTGCTCGGGTTCAGGCTCACTAGGCAGCCTCTGCTTTACTTGCTGACTCTGGAAACCCTATTCCACCTGGCTCACCGGGCACAGCTGGCACAGCGGGCTCACCGGGCACAGTGGACTCACCGGGCACAGCTGGCACAGTGGGCTCACCGGGCACAACTGGCACAGCGGGCTCATCTGGCACAGCTTGCACAGCAGGCTCACCTGGCACAGTGGGCTCACCTGGCACAGCTGGCACAGTGGGCTCACCGGGCACAACTGGCACAGCGGGCTCACCGGGCACAGCTGGCACAGTGGGCTCACCTGGCACAGCGGGCTCACCTGGCACAGTGGGCTCACCGGGCACAGCTGGCACAGTGGGCTCACCGGGCACAACTGGCACAGCGGGCTCACTGGGCACAGCTGGCACAGTGGACTCACCTGGCACAGCTGGCACAGTGGGCTCACCTGGCACAGTGGGCTCACCTGGCACAGCAGGCTCAGGGTGAATGAGAAAACGCACTCCGGGCCCTGGCTCCTGTCCGGTGCGCAGTGCCCTCTCGGTAAGCGGTGGCGGGGGAAGTACTAACACAGGCCCTTCCGAACGGTGTCAGGCTCTGGGCGTGGCGCCTGCATGTGCAGTCCGTCCACCAGGGCTCACAGGGCCCCTTCCTGCCCCTCACCGTCCCGCCTGCTGACCGCAGGTCCCGATGAAACGTCACTTTTGGGGGAGGCCTAACCTCCCCCCACCGCGCCTGAGCCGCACCCTCCACGGCAAGTCTAGAACCTTCTAGTCACTGTCTTAGCGGCCACCGCTCCCTGCGGTGGGCACTGTCTGCTCATGCCAGGACTCAGCAGGGGCACCGGACACATTTGTGCGGTGAGCAGACCCCAGCGGAGCCGTGTCCCGCCCCTGCCCCCAAGCTGCCGCCTCGGCCCTGCCACCCACCGTGAAGTGCAGCCGGCTCTCCGTCTCCAGCAGCACGTCCAGCCGCAGGGTGAGGATGTCCTTGGGGAAGAAGGTCGTTGCGGCGCGGGTCAGGCTGGCCGTGTAGCCCGTGTCCGTGGCGGTCAGGTTCCCCAGCCTGTAGCTCGGGTAGCTGGGCGGGAAGAAGCACC